GACTAGGGGTGGGAAACATGTGTCAAGAGGTCCTTTGAAGTTCAAGCATCCAAGATTTTCTCTATCCTCAAGAATCCTGAAAAAAAAAAAAAGTTTGCAGAGTGCCTCCCTGCCAGGCTTTACCACTTCAGTGGGCTTTATCTGCCCTTCTGGAACCTCACTGTAAGCTCCTGTGTTGAAGGCCTCTCTGAGGTCTGCCCAAACTTATCCATGTCTGAGTTGCAATAAACAACATGGGATGTGGTAACTATCACCCAAAGGCTACCTAAGGGTGGTCATATACAGAGCCAGGAGCAAAGCAAGGACCAGCAGGAAGGTGGGACTCATGGCAGAGGCCTAAGGGATATGTTGGGAGGGGTAGCTCACCCCCAATCAGGAGAGAATCCAGGAAGCATCCATCTAATACTACTTCTTTCAAGGGGCCTAGGGTCAGGAGAAGGCCCTCTTGGTGTGTGGTGGGGGCAAAAGACACTAAATCTGGTCCTCTGGTGCCAATGGTCCTACCTCCGTCCATTGGAGCTGTTGTTCTCCACAAAGGTTCGGCAGGAGGCCCAAGCTCAGTGATGGATAAATAGCCAACAACAGGGAGGTGCAGCCTGGGCATTTCCGCCCACATGAATCTCCTATTTTACTCTTTCAAGATATCAAACTTTAGGCTACTGTTGAAGTAGGGATTGGTATTTGGGGAGTATGTCCGGGGTTGTAACAGCTTCTTACGCAGACTTTCGACTAATCTTTTTTTAAGCTCCACATTCATTCTCACATCCAGAGAGAACTTGTGCCCCAGTCATTTCCTTTGGTTAGGGCTCTACAGTGTAATTGGGTTTGATCCTTAGATTTTACCGATACTGGCATAGGAGGTATTTGGGACTGGATAGTGAGATGTAGTTGTCAGTCACTATTCATAAAAAATGGGGGAGGGGCTGGTCAGACCTGGCTGGGTAGCTCAGTTGGTTAGAGCATCATCCCGATACTCCAAGGTTGCAGGTTTGATCTCCAGTCAGGGCACATACAAGAAGCAACCAATGAATGCCTAAATAAGTGGAACAACAAATTGATCTCTCTCTTTCTCTCTCTCTCTCTCTCTCTTTTCCTCCCTTCCTCTCTCAAATCAATTTTAAAAATTAAAAAATAATAACAATAAAAGAAAGAGCTGGTCTTCTTATAGAAATCTACTTCTTCATCACTTATTGGGGGTGAGGGAGAGCTGTTTCAACAAATGGAGTAATATACTGGGGACCTGTTCCAGCAGGGAAATTTTCTAATTAGAGATATCTAAGGATGGGGGAATGTGTTGATCAGTAGGGGCTGTATGGATGGGTAGATGGGGTTTTATGAATGGAAAGAACATGAAACAGTCTTATCAATGAGATAAACGGCAACGGTGGGTATTTCTGAATGGGTAACTAACTCATCAATAGGATCACTTTAATGGGCATATCTGAATGGGAAAATATACCAGTGGGTCAAGATATAGGAATGGGGAGATTCATCAGTAGAGGTTGTCAGTGGGAATTATGTCAGAGAAAGACATTTATGAATAAAGAAATTTGTCAACTAGGCAGTCATTAGGGGATATGCCAATGGGTGCATAATTATGAAGAGAGATATTTGTCACTGAGGTCCACCAGTGGGCGTGAGATTGCTGCTGGGTATTTGTGAATAGGGAGATTTGTCAAGGGGGTCATCGACATGTATATGTCAAAGGGGGAGTTATGAATATGGAGGTAGCTCCACAGAGGTATTTGTTTGTGGGGTATTTGTGAAAGAAGGGGTTTGTACAGTCAGGAAAGGGGACTTTTTAAAGGAAAGGTTTACTAAGGCCTTATAGATTTGTCACTTATAGTCTTGGTGAGAGTAGAGATTTATAAATGTGGTTTTTCATCCACAGCGCAGACTGCATAGTGGAAACATTATCACTGCAGGGAGGAGGGGTGGTCCTCAGAAGTCTTTGAAAACGTTGGTATCTTTCAGTGGCAGGATTTGCACACTGGGGAACAGTGTACAAGTATCGTAGTAACAAGAAAAACAACAAATGAGCATAACAAATATTTGTAACATCTCTGGAGGAAATTATCAGGATTGTGAATTACACTAAGGTTTCCAGGGTGCATTAAATTATTACTACTGATATTATATGTTATTTCCAATATTATAAACTATCATTCCTAGTTTTAAACACTATTTGCAAAGTTGTACATTAAATTATATTTATCATACTACTACTAATAATTAATACCCCTCATAATGCTATGTGCCTACTACTGTTCAGGCAGTTTACATGTGTGACCTCATTTAATGCTCACATTGTCCCTATGAGTTAGGCCTTTTTCGTTGCTATTTTAGAGATGTGGAAACTGAGGCACAAAGAGCTAATGTGATTTCCCCAAGGACACAGAGCTAATACATGGAGAGGGCAGGATTTGAATGAGAGTAACCTGGCTCCAGCATTCATGCTCTTAATCATTATACTACATTACCTACCTAGAAATTAAATCACTGTTGGTGACATTATGCATGAAGTTATTGTTAGGAGAATTTCATCTGTTTTGACCTGAAACAATTACCAAGGGGTGGATACCCCCATGGATCACTCTCAATCCCTAGCACAGACCTTGGAAGGATTCTGGGTAGGGACTGTGAAGCCCATTTTTTAGGGAGAAGTACTGAGGCTCGAGTAGGAGAAGGGCCAACTCTCAGGCTACTCATTGCGCCGGACCCCGTACTGCACGCCTCACAGGGCTGTCACCCCCACATACTTCCTCTCAGCCATCAGAGTCTCTTCCAAGCAGAGAGGCTGGGGTGGGGTGGGGGTAACTCACTTTAGTGGATTTTACTAGAAGTGTGATGGGGAAATATAGTGACCTCAGTACTACACATATCCTGCCAGGAGCTCCTGCCAGGGGGAGGGGGAGGTGGCTGTGTATATTGCTCTGGACTCTGTGAAAAGGGCTGCAGTAGAGTACAGCCGGGTGGTCTACCCTGTCCTTGAAGCGATAGTGTCTTGATCCAGGGCACCACCTGAAAGTGGGCAGGTCGGCAAGACAATGGCCTTCATACTGGGCTCCATCCTTCCACCACCACTTTCTAGGTCATCTTCCTCCCAGGGGTTAAAGTAGCTGAGGGCTCAGGGAACTGGCGCTGGGGTCAGGGAGTAAACAACGTAAGAGTGCAGGCAGCTTTTGGTACTAGGGTTTGGTGAACTATCAGGAACTGCCAAACTCTTGCAAGCAGCTGAGGCAATAGTGACACAGCCACATGGGCCAAACCAGGGCCTAGGCCCTTCCCTTACAGTTGTACCCATCAGTGAGGGCTGCCATTTACTCCTTTTGATAGCTGGGGTTCAGACCCCTCACCCAGGGTATTGCCAAGGTGTAGATGTTGACATAGAAATTGTTACTGCAATGGGTGTCCCCTGCTCAGGCAGATAAGCACTGAGTTCTTAAAATCCACCCATTCTGATCTGGGACATATCATGAGCCCTTGGGGGGAACCTCCGGGAGTGCAAAAGGACAGGGCCACAGAGGATCCAGGGGACCACGCTTGCAGATCCAGAACACCCTGGAAGAGACCTGGGTTCTTATTGGCAGGAGCAGTGGATAGTCCATTGGGAATGAACTTGGGGGTCCTTTCTTTTACCAAAAAAGATACAGTGGAGCCTTTTTTGAAGCACTCAGGTCAGCAGGTCACTTGAGTGTTCCACTGAATGTTTGTACCAATCAGAATTTCTTGTTCCCATGGTGCTCACTTGAGCCACGACCTTCAGAGTTTAAGAGGCAACAGCCAGAGACTGCGAAGAGCTCAGAAGGGCCTGGACTCAGCTGTGGGAGCAGGAAGGCCTAAAGAAGGGAGTATTGGGAGAATCCCTTGCTCGGGTCTTATGGGGGAAGATGAACCAGAAATGTGAGCCTCCGGTCTAGTGGCCCCAATGTTGGTGAAGGGGCAGTTGTGTAGGGGGAGGTATGGGCTGATGTACTTGGTTGGTTTTGATTTTGAAACCTTACCTGCACTTCACTGCTGTTACACTTGGTCAGAGGAGTGAGGAGAGGTGGGAGAAGGGGGAGAAAGGGATTTCCAGATCACATCTTCTGCCCATCTTTCCTATTCCCCAAACAACCACTTCCAAGGAATCTCCCACGGGCCATAGTGAGGGGGTGGGGAGGCACCAAGGCTGCTCCTTCTCCCGGAGTCCCTGGCTGGGTTATGTGGGGAATGGGCCTTGGGCCCTGGGGCTTTCCCCTTTTGCTCAGGGCAAACTCACAGCACAAAACCTAAGGGTGGGGACAATAACATCCACAGGTTTGGATGGGGCAGGATATCCTTACTGGATGACATCAGGACAATGCCCGAGGAGAGGAGGAAAGCTGTTAGCGAATTGACAAGGCATTTGTCAATGAGGGATTTGTGAATCCAAATCCCTCTTTGGGGCAACAATGGGGAATTTGCTGATGAGGTAGTGATTTGTCAGCAGTGGGTAATCTATGAACTAGAGAGCCCTGTGCAAATAGGATTTATAAATTAGTCTAGTAAAATGTTTTAAAATATTGAGTAGAGAGTTTATGCAGTAAGCTGTGGTTGATAACGCAGGTTAAATTACTGACATTGCAGATCACCAATGCTAATGTCAATTGAGATAATTAGGCGATTCTGGGACAGGTGGAAGTATCCACAGATGCTCGCCATGGCTAGGATGTATGCAAACTGGATGTCAGGGGGCATCCCCCGAGGCGTTGAACCCTTTGAACAACTGTTGATGTATGAGAAGAGTCTCTTTTACTGATGTGATCCTCCCACTCTACCTTCTTCATATAGTATCCTGAGATCACAGCTACTGTCCTCCCAGCCAATGGGCAGAGGCTTTTTGTTTTTAATATAAAAAGCCAACAGTTTGCATCCCTTGTCCCCTCAGCATTAGTTCCAGGGTGCTCCCACCAGGTCATAGGTGATTTGGGTTTGTTCCCAGACACTACACAGGGACACTGCCTGCAGAGTGGTAGGTCTTTATTTCATCATCTTGAAGAAACAAAGTCAGGAGTGGGGAAGGGGGTGAATACTGTGTAGGTTCCGGCCTCTGCTGGAGGCAGGACTCAGGCAGTCCGGGGGCGCAGGGACTGCCAGGTGCACATCCCTGGCTTCCGTGGCAGGCAGGCAAGGTGGCGGCTCTGCACGCCCTTGTCAGAGCCTGTGAGCAGCTGGTCTGTCCATAAGCAGTGAGTGTTACTCTGCAGTTTGCAGGGAATGGAGGAGCAGGGAAACACCTGGAGGAGAAGAGGGAGACACATCTCTCAGGGCTTCTCCTACCCCTGGCTCCCCTATGGAGCAGAACTTTCCCCTCCCCAGCATTCAACATAGAGCTGCATCCACCTGGATACAGACTGAAGGACAGTCCCTCCCATTGGGGGAACAGACATTGGACTCGATGAAGTGACAGTAATCCAGTGAAAGGATCAGTTTCTTGGTGGTTGGGGACAGTTGTGGGGATCGGTCAGGTGGGTCTCCTGAGATCCGTCCCATAGGATAGGGAACAACTGGCAGTAACAGGGAACAGCTGGTGGATGAAGAAGTTAAGTATAGGAAGGAGCTGTGGGGCTCAGATACAGTCAGTGGGTCAGAGGACATTCAGGGACATCAGGGAACAGTCCTGGAATTGTCAGAAGGGCACTGTAACTCGCTGTTGTGTGTCAAACAGTCACAGGTAGAGAGCAACAATCAGATGTGCTGGGGAAGAGTCAGTGGGTTGGGGAACAGCATTTTGGGTTCTTGGAGAACATTCTAGGGAACCAAGAAATGATCCCAGGGGAGTCAGGAAAACACATCAGGGCTACAGAATAGTCACAAGGGAGAATTAGAGGGAGAGAAAGCAGCTATAACAGTGAATCCCCAGGTATGAGGGGCAGGGCAAAGGAACAACCAGAATGTCCAGGAGAACAGTCTTAGGTTTAAGGGAACAGCAAGGACGATCAGGGATAGCCCAAGGGTTTGGGGAGCAGCCATAGGGACAAGGAATATCCAGAGGGGGCAAGAAACAAACCATGGTTTAGAGAAGAGCCCAAGGAGACCTCCCCAGGTGGCAGGCAGGACCCAAGCACTCACTGTGCATTCCTCACAACCAGCAGAGTAAAGCTTGGTGAAGCCTCGGCGCTGAGCGGAGCTCAGACTACTCCAGGGAACCACGAAACTGCAGGTGGTGATGTGCAGGTGCCCGTTCCACAGTTGTCCTGGGGAAGGAACAACAGGCAGTTTCCGATTGGCTGGAGCAAGGGGTTGGGAGGGAGGGTGGCGCCTGCTTGGTGTCTCTGGAGCACAGACTCCGCTGGGGGCTTTCTGATAGGCTGAAACTGGGGAGGTCCCCATTTCAACTGGAACCCTTCCCTCAGAGCCTAGCCCAGTCAGGGTTGCCCTGCGCTGTCTGAGGGACAGGTGGCAGGGCTCCCCGACGGACGAGGGGGCGGAGCCTCACCAGCAATGAGAAACTCCTCACTGCGGTTCTGGGACCGGTGGAAGTATCCACAGACGCTCTCCATGGTTGGGGTATAGGCAAACCGGATGTCAGCAGCATCCCCCAAGGCGTTGAACCCTTTGAACATCTGTTGATGGATGAGAAGAGTCTCTTTTACTGCCATGATCCTCCCACTCCACTTTCTTCATATAGCATCCTGAGATCACAACTAACTTCTCAACCGATGGCCAGAGGGTTTTTTGTTTTTTGGGGGTTTTTTTGGACAGGAAGATGTTAGGAACTGCTGAGGATGGGGCAGGAGGGAATACCTTGGTCATCTTGATCTCATAACGCTGGTATAAGGTGGTCTCGTTGACTTCTGCTGTCCCCATGAACTTGGCCCTGATGACTGCAGGAGAGGAGGGGGGAAAGTCAAATGGGACCGTGTGAGCCAATAAAAATAAAACAATCACAACAGTCATTCTAGCAAAGCACATACTTAAATAGGGATCACTGGATGCCAGACAACACAGAGAGATTTGTACATTTGTTAAATAATTCACCCATACTTTGAGTGCCTACTCTTTGCCAGGCACTGCTTTAAGCCTTTTTCATATATAGTCATCATGTATTCATTCAACGAGTATTTTGGAATACTTGCTATTTGCCAGGCACTGTTCTGGTTGTTAGGGACACAACAGTGAACAAAACAGAAATTCCTTCCCTTGTGGAACTCACATTCTAGCCAAGAGGATAAAGGGTAAACACAAACAGAATAAATAAGTCTATGGAATGTTATAAGGTATTAACTTTGATGGGGAGCTTCAGAACTGGATAAGGGGAATCAGGCGTACTAAGGGACAGGGGTTAAAATTTTGGGAAAGTAAAATTTGAGGCAGCCACCCATATGGATACCTGGGGGGAAGGGTGTACCAGGCAGAGGGAGCAGCTAGTGCAAGGGCCCTGAGGAGGGACTGGGCCTGGAGTAGTCAAAGGAAGCCAGTGGGAATACCAGTGTGGCAAAACCGGAGTCAGGGCAGGGCTGAATAGAATTGTTCTAGAGGTGAGCTCCGTGCTGAACACCACTGGATTGAGAGGGAAAGTAAAGCACAGCGTGTGAGCAGAGTAACACTCACCGAGGTCAGAGTTGCAGAAGGCCATCTGAGGGTGGGGCGGGACACAGGTACAGGCTCTGCTGGGGGCTGTCAGACACAGCAGCAACAGGATGCCAGAGGCCAGGGGCACAAAGCAGGCCATGGTGGGTTCTGCAAGAGTGGGGAGGAGAAGTCAGGCAGCCTCCACGCAGGCTGATCCAAGGACCTGGGCAAGGCCTCCCACCCCATCCTTCCCCACCCCCAGCAGCAGACAGGCAGACAGGCAGGCAGGCAGACGGGGATTAGGCTGCCACACTTGGGCTAGAGGGTTTGAGGAGTGTGGGGACTTTAGAGGGATGGGTATTTGAGAGCCCAGAGGATTTTAGGGAGCTAGGGGACTGGGAGAGTTTCAGAGTTGTGGAGTTTGTTTAGGGGACTGGATAAGTGGGTAGATTATGGGGTTGTGGTGTTTGGGGAAAAGTGGGCTGGGGGAGTTTGAAGACTTACTGGGGTTAGGGAAGTCAGAAAGCGGAGGACTTGGGGGTAAGGAATTTTGGGTTTGGGGAACTGCAGGAGTTTGCCGGGAGGTTGGGAGTTTCACAGTGGTGCATATTGAGAGACAGAGGAGGCCAGGGAGTTGAAGGAGGCTGAGGGATTTGGAGGAGGTTGGGGTTTAGAGAGCTGAGGGACTGGGGGCTCAAAAGGTGGGGTCCCAGAGGGATTTGGGAGCAAAGGAAGCATTGAGATTTCTCGAAAGTTGAGGATTTAGGAGTCTGGGTTATTGGCGGAGCTGCGGAATTTGGGAAGCTTCAGGGATTTGGGTATGGGGGCGTCTGAGGGGCAATGAGGGAACTTAGGGGAGTTAGCCATTTCAGAAGGATCTGTGGTATTAAGGGCTCATGAGGTTGTGGGAGTTGGGATGGATATCAGGGGTTGGAAGGAGTTTGGAGAAGCTCCAGCCCCACCCCCGCCCCATCCTCTCCCCCTTGACTAGCCCAGGGTCCTGGTGGCTGCCCTTCGGGCTGAGCTGCCAAGTGTCCGGTGGCAGCAAAGCTCCAGCCCAGCCCTGCGGCGGCCCAGACCCCTGCCTACCTCTGGTGTAGCTTCTCTAGACGCTGGGTCGGCGGCGATGGCGGCAGGGCCTGAGCGGCGGAGGATAAATGTCCACGCGAGGGGCGGGGGTGGCGGCCGTGCGGAAACCACAGGCCTCCAGGCTTCCTGGATGCATTACTCATCCGCCCACCGTCAGTGGTGGCCAAGGGGCGGGCCGAGGGCTGCCGAAAAGAAGCCTCAGCCTCCTCCTCTCCCTCCTCCTGGGCCTCGCCCTGGTCATCGCCCTCCCCCATCTCCAAGTCTGGTCCCGGTCCCAGTCCCTGCAGGCGGCCTCAGTGGAGGGTTTAAAGTCAGGATTCCCCCAATGCAATTCCCTAAAGTCTCCAAAATCTCCATAGTCTATCCAGTCACCCACGCCTGCAAACTTCTCATGGCTGAAGCCCAACGTGGTTCATTTTGTCAATAAACATTTCTTGTGCACCTACTGTATACCAAGCACACACAGAAATTCCTGTCTGGTAGATCCTGACATTCTGATAAAGGGGGGAGGCAGAGAGGAGACTAAGTAAAAGCGGTGGAGGGAGATAAAGCAGGTTAACAGCGGAGGAATACAATGTGGGGTAACTGAGACACTGAGAGATTAAGTGACTTTTTCAAGATCACAATAAGCAGCACAACTGGGATTTGTACTCAGTGGCCTGGAGCCAGAGCCTAGATCTTAACCCTGCTCAAAAAAAAAAAAAAAAATACAGGCAAATAGCATTTATATAGCACCAGTTGTATACCAGGCACTCAGAATAATTTATGTCACTTAAAGCTCACAATTTTTGCAACAACATGGGTGGATCTAGAGAGTATTATGCTAAATGAAATAAGCTAGAGAAAGACAAATACTCTATGATTTCACTTATACGTGGAATCTAAAACACCAACCAAACAAAATAAACAGATACTCACAGATACAGAGAACAAACTGGTGGCTGCCAGAGGGGTGGATGGGGTGGGTAAAATAGGTGAAGGGAATTTGGAAGCATAGACTTCCATACCCTGGCTGGTGTTGCTCAGTGGACTGAGTGCCGGCCTGTGAACTGAAAGGTTGCCGGTTCAGTTCCCAGTCAGGGCGCATGCCTGGGTTGGGGGCTGGGTCCCCAGCTGGGGGTGTGTGAGAGGCAACCAGTTGATGTATCTCTCTCTCTCTTTCTTTCTCCCTCTCTCTAAAAATAAATAAATAAAATCTTTTAAAAAAGAAGTACAGACCTCCAGTTATAAAATAAATAAGTCATGGAGATGCAATGTACAGCACAGGAAATATAGTCAATAATATTGTAATAACTTTGTATGGTGACAAATGTTACCTGGAATTATCATGGTGATCATTTCATTATGTATAAAAATATCAAACCACTATTTTGTACACCCAAAACTAATATAATATTTATGTCAACTATCATTCCATTTTTAAAAAACTCATAGTAAGCCTCTGAGATAGGTACCAGTTTCCCATTTTACAGATGAGGAACTATGAGGCATAGGGGAATTGAAGAACTTTCCCAGGATCACGGGGCATGGCCGTGATTTGAACTTATGCCAACTGGCCCCAGGATCTGAACCCTGGGCTTGGCACGCTAAGAAAGGTGCTGGTGAATTAATGAGAATTGGGGTGAGGGGAGTTGAATGGTGGCGAAAGAGACCAGTGAGTCAGAAGAGAACTGATACCCACCCTGTCCTGCCCCTTTGCCACCAATCCCTCCCCTACCATGCCCCATAGGTGGTGGGGTGAGGTAGTCCCTGCCTGCCAGCTTCCAGATACTACCCACATCTTCCCCAGGGTCCTGGGAAAGGGCTCTGAGGGCTGATTGACATCCTTCAGGTGTTCAGGGAGGACAGACCAATAATAATAATAATAATGACGGTAGTGATGATAGTAGTTACTTATTGAGCACTTACTGTGTATTGTGCCCTGAAGTCTGTGTAAATTCTCTTATTCACTCTCCATTGCCCTCTTTCTAATTAAGCTGGATTAATCCAGAGAGGTTAACCCAATCAACACCACCATCACCACCATGAAAACTACCAGCACTTATGGAATGCTCAACGGGCATCAAGCACTGTTCTAAAATCTTTTTAAGTACTTTATCTCTCAGTCACTCCAGATTGCCTCCTTGTTAATGTTGGCTAACCAAGAGATGTTAAACCAATAATTATAATAGTACCCAACACTTTTAGACGATGCAGACTTCCTGTGCTCCACATACTGTGCTGAGCATTTTTCCCGACATAACTAATCTCTTCCTCACAATATCCCTGTGAGTTAGAGACTGTTCATGTTCTGATTATGCAGATGAGGAAGCTGAGACAAACAAAAGACTGAGTGACCTGCCCAGGAATGAGAGTGAAGAAATGACTGCTGGGGAGACAAGAAGTGGGGGAAAGACGTAAACCAGGAGTTTGGAGAAGCTGATTGTGAAAGTGGGGGAGTGAAAGTGAATGAAACAGTGGGCTGAGTAAGTCAGTGGCGGGGGCCAAAGGGAGAAGTGAGGGAAAGGAAAGTCCTGCTGCAGCCCCTCGTGGACCCTGGTTCTGACGCCAGCTGAGACCTGAGTCAGCACAGAGTTTTGCTGACTGTCTACATGTGAGGAGTTGTGTGGATCCAGGTTATTGTGCAGGTTTTGAAAATCTGGTGGGGTTTCATGGAAGGGTGTCTGGGTGTGTGACCATCTGGGGAGCTGGGTGAGGGTGGAGGGCCATGGGGCCCAACTTGGTGTGCAAAACAGACACCTAGCAATCTCCACGGCACACCAAGTGCTTGGGCCTGATCCCTTTGGACAGATCAGGAAACTGAGGCCCAGAGAGGGTTAAGTGAACTTCCTGGGGTCCCACATGATTTTAGGAAGAGGAGGGGCCAAGACTCAAAGCTAGGTCTCTCCAGAGGATCCCAGAGAGCAGAGGTCCACTCATGCACACACGTGCGGGCCCACATACACATATCCACAGTGCTGTGCTCAGGCCCAGGTCCAGAGGAAATAAGGAGCATTTATAAAAAAGAGGAGCCTGGAAAATCTGGGGGGCGGTGTGTGTGTACAGCTCTCTGCTGTCTCTGACCCTGAGAGTTGCCTGTGAGCCTTTCAGGTCGTGTGTGTGTGGTGTATGTGTGGGCCTGAGTGCTTTGTGTTTCTGGGAGTTGTGTGTCTGCCTCTGTAAAGCGGGTCTAGGTTGCACTTGTAATTGTGGATGTTTCTCCCCTCTGTGAGAGGTGAGTGTGCCTGAGCATTACATCACCCGCCGCCTCTGCAGTGTTTCCCTGCAAACCTATCTACAGGATCCCCGTAACCCCGTCCAACACGGTGCCTCTCAGTGCCCCATAGTGACGCCAGTCATTTGGGAAATGAGGAAGGTGGGAGTGCTGAGGGAGGGCGATGCCTGAAGGTCAATCAGTCACCCTGAGCCTGCGGGCTTCCTGTGCCTGTCGGGAACTGGGAACCACTGCCGGCCCAGCCACCCCTCCGGGAATGCTATCTCTCGACCCTGTGGGGCAGCTGTCTGCACAGCAGATGGAGGGTGTGGCCCTGCATGCACTCGTACTATGGTGGGGCTACGGTCGCCCAACCTGGTCCCCTGGATCCTGCCCAGGGTGGGGACACTTGACAGATCCCTGTACCTGAATGTGTATGTGAGTGTGTGTGTGTGTATGTGTGTGTGTATGCACATACCCAAGGAGTGTTCTCTGTATGCTTAGGAGGGTTGTGGTGTCTCTGGTTGGGTGCGTGCCTCGCTTTTTGTACATATGGCAAGGCATGTTGTGTCCATAGATATACTTTTTGTGTGCCCAGGAGTGGTGTGGGTCTCTGTGTTGTTGGTCTCAGAGGTTTCTGTACCTAGAAGTGTGTGTACCTTTTTTAGTATGTGGTGTGTCTTTCTGTTTGTTGTGGGTATGTCTAAGAGTGCTGCGCGTGTGTCTGTTGACTATGTGCCCAGTTCTGTTGTGTGTGCCTCTCGGGGTTGTGTATGCCTCTGCCTTCTAAAGCTGTACCCTGAGGGTTGTCTTTGTATTAGTTACATGGCTAATACTCTGTGTTGTGTGTGTCCCTCTAACTGTTGTGTGGATTTGGGTGATGGGAGGGGACTGTGTGTGTGTCTTTGCTCAAAAATGTTGAGTATGTACTGCTGGGCAGGGAGGCTGGCCAGAAGTGCTGGTGGGTTCCTGCCCCACACCGTAAACACCGGGCTAGCTGAATGACTGGCTGTGGGAATTTACATTGTTGGAGAGTGAGATGCGCCCCGGAGCCTGTGTTGGTTGCAGGTCTCTCTGTCTCGGGGGTCTCGATATGAATGGGCATCTCTGGATTTTGTTGTGTAGATCTGAGTTTTGACGGTTTGTGTGTCTAGGTTGTGAACGTGTGTAGACAAGTTTTACATACAAGGCCTGGCTGAGGGGTCCAGTTGCTACATGCTCACCACCACATCCCCATGCACGCACATGCACACACTCACTTCTCTATCATCCAGTCACTGTATAAACAAACTTTCCCTTTTCCGGAAAAGGCCACCACCCTTGTCTCTGCCTGGGAAAGCAGAGACGGGAAGTCTGGGGGAGGGGGAGGGAGGGACAGGCAGACAGGGCTCTGGGTTCGATTATGAGCTCAGAGGTGCTGTGTGACCCCCAGCTGCTGTCTGCCTGTCTCTGATATGCATCTTCTGGGAAATGGCTCCTCATGTGGCTCCTGCTGGGCTCCCCTCAGCACCACCCCCACCCCTGGCAATCAGCCCTCCTGCCCTGACCATCTTCTGCTTTCCACCCTACCAGCTCAGCAGCACAACGTACCCCGTGGTTGTGAAGATGGGGCATGCGCACTCTGGTATGGGCAAGGTGAGTCCCAGGGTTGAGTGTGCCCCTGTGTGTTTATAAATGGTGTACACTCCTGGCATTGTGCTTATGTGTGTAAATGTATATTGTTTATTCAGCACACACCAGTGATTGTGTGTGTCCTGGGGTTTTTTTAATCTATTTGTATCTTTTCTCTCACATTCTTGGATTTTGTTGGCCCAATTTTCTATCATTCACTCGGCGAGTTTTATGTGTCCTGTTATTTTGTTAGTGTATACAGCATTGTACCTGTGCATATGCATGCCTCTGTGTTGAACACACGCTACGTAGTCTTTTACATTCGGGGGTCTTGGGGTCCTATACACTTTCCATCCAATTTCATCTCTGTATATGGTGAAAGCAGACTTGTAATTTGTATGTTGGAGTGTGTCCATGTTTCTGTTTGTGTATTATATATACACGACTGATTTTGTATGAATATACCGTATATATACAATTTTCCCACAGATTTATTGAAATATTCATATACCATACAACTTGCCCATTTAAGGACAATTCAATAATTTTTAGTATGTCCAGTGTCATATACACCCAACCTCATGTCTATGTGTACATGTAAAATCAGAAGGCCCAGAATTATGCATGCATGAGTATCTTGGTATGCGCACTGAATTTCTGCGTACTCAGCTCAGCTGTGTCACTTGTATGCACACCCTCACACCGAGGCACCCTCATTTGCGGCCCCGTCCAGCCAAGGCCCTGATCCCCACCCCGCCCACAGGTCAAGGTGGACAACCAGCATGACTTCCAGGACATCGCAAGTGTCGTGGCACTGACCAAGACATATGCCACTGCCGAGCCCTTCATTGATGCCAAATATGATGTCCGTGTCCAGAAGATAGGGCAGAACTACAAGGCCT